CAGTAGAAAAATATTTATGTCAATAGGGAAAATTATCGAATTCTGCATTCTTTAAAAACCTGGTTAAATATATAATGATTGAATAATTTTAACTATTATTTTTAGATTTACTTATATATAAATATGAATGAATTTTAAAGCATCCTAAAAATATTTATTTAGCAGTTGAAGGCATGCTTTCAATGTATTCTAAAAAATTATAATATAAAGTATTTTTTAAAAGTCTTTCATATGATTTATTTCTATATCTTGATGTCCTCAAATTTCAAGGTCAAATTTTAATATTTCTATAGCACGTAAAAATATGAAGTTGTGTACTCTCGTTAAATCCTGATGACAATGTAAGTTGTTTATACAATACACCGTGGAGGTCGGGAATAGACAATTTGTACATTCCCTATCAAACGGAGAAATTAGGCGCAGCCGTTTCAAAGGCGTAATGGGCGACTGGCATTTCATAAAAATTGTCGGTAGCATAAAGACACAAGGGTATACAAGGTTGGGTAAATAAGTAATACACTATCACCCCTAGCAAAATATATAAATAATTTATTATCATAAAATACATGTATATAAAATACCGCTGGGAGGGTTCACCACTGATGAGCCAGGCCCTCCCATTAATTTTTCCATTGCAGTAAGGACAGTAGAAATTGTTTAATATCAAAAAGAATCTTACGCCTTTAAAATAGTTTCGAATTTTGGTAACAGATGGCGCGCTAGTGCATCATATTATAAATGTATATAATACATTATATGGACATGTATATAATACATTTAGAATCTGATCAAGGGTTAAAGACGTGAGCCTAAATATCACTAAATTTAGCACCACTTTCTATTTTCATAAAATTAAGAAAGGGCACGGTAGCCTCTCATTGGTTACATTATATGGACATGTATATAATACATTTAGAATCTGATCAAGGGTTAAAGACGTGAGCCTAAATATCACTAAATTTAGCACCACTTTCTATTTTCATAAAATTAAGAAAGGGCACGGTAGCCTCTCATCTCTAATAGACTCTGAATTTCTCAAATTTTGGGGCAAAATGGGATAATGATATTTTTTCCTTTTCAAGTTACAATTGTTTCTGTAATATTTCTGTATTCTAACTTGGTGTATATTAATTTTATTTATTATTCAGCGTGAATAATTCATGACATTTGATGTAATCACATTTTATCAATCCAAAGTCCATGCATCACCAGACCAGGTCATGATATTTTCGCAAAGGGTTTCCATGCCACCCAGGAGGTACCTGCTCGACTCGTTAGCCTTTATTTTATAGTGGCGCTTCGCCTCCCGTAGAAGCCCTATTCCACTCTTCTGGCACAACCAGATCATCCAACTCGCTCGAGATGACTCGGCCGAGCTAATGATCCAGGCCCTGCCAGGAACTGGTCTGCCGATGCTATGGACTCCGTCTCAAAGAGTCGGGGGAGAGGAAGACCTCAATATCTGAGGAAACAAGTAAATTCGGAAAGAGTCTCAAAGCAGACCCGCCTTCACCTCAATTCCCAACCGACTGGCCCATTGTTGGAGCATGGGAAACAAAATTTTATAGAGCCGCTCTATAATTATAATATAAATTTATATTAAAATAATAGAAATATAAATCTCTTTCTCATAAATATTATATATTATATTATTTAAAAATGCCTATTTTAAATCATAAAGTTTTATTTCCGATATAATATATATTTAAATATTTCATTATTTTGAAATTATATAAATATAAGGAAAATGCATATTTGGAACCAAACGATTAAAACTTACGTTACTAATAACAAAATTTATTCATGATAAAATTTATAGATGAAAGATTATTTTTGAAGATTTTGAATTCAAATAAAATGCTGTGAAGATACAAATATATTTATTTTTAAAATAAAAACGTCAAAATGTCAAAAAATGGATCAATTTCAGACATTTGCTCTCTCATTTTAAATTATCAAATATCAGCGGCGTCCTTCATGATTTACTATAAATATGTCTTAAAGGAATACAAATAAAATGTACAACTTCGATTTGAGACTGAACTACGATATTATGAATTTCTCGTCTTAAACCCGGTTTTGATTTAATCCAGAGATCCCCATAATCACCAAGGTATAAAGGTGGTCGGTCAGTCCACGGTCCAGGTTCTGAGGAGGTGAAATTTCTCCTTATATCCTATAGTAATCAGTGACATATTCGGATTGAAATCTAATTTAGGTTGAATACAATTATAGACAGAATTTTGAAACAACCTTTTGGTGTCGTATACGATCCATTCAAAATAGTATGGAGTTGGAACATCTAAATGTTAGTTATCCATCCTATTTTCTCTTAAATGTGATAAGTTGAAACATTGAACTATATATGGAATGATTTATTTACTCGCGCGAACAAAATTCGCTTCATGCGAACTCCACACACCAAACTACATATACAAATGTGGAACGCACGTTTATACTTATATAAAACAACTCAAAAATTACATGGTGACAGAATATTCAAAAATAAATCTACAAAATATTATTCTCCATATATACACGGTTGGATCAATAGGTAATGCACCATCCCCCCCCTCGCAAAAATATATAAATAATTTATTACGATGCACTAGCGCGCCATCTGTTATCAAATTACAAACTATTTTAGAGGCGTAATATTCTTTTTAAAATAAAACAATTTCTACTGTCCTTACTGCAATGGAAAAATTAAAGGGAGGGCCTGGCTCATCAGTGGGTTCACCACTGATAAGCCAGGCCCTCCCTTTAATTTTTCCATTGCAGTAAGGACAGTAGAAATTGTTTTATTTTAAAAAGAATATTACGCCTCTAAAATAGTTTTGTAAAATAATTTATTATTATTAAATGTTTTCTGGTGAATAAAACACTCTGATTTTCATATCTGCAATCAGGATTGATTCTGATCTTATCTTTTGTAATTTTTAAATATGGAGCTTAATGTGAACACAAGAATCCGACAACGGTCGGTGACCGAATTCCTCTGAAGTCCGGTGACATTTCAGCCACAACAATTCACTCAAAATTTCAGCCAGTATATGGAAACGAAACATTGGATAGAATCACTATACAGAGATGGGTTCAGCGCTTCCAGAAAGGTGATTTTTATCCTCATGAAAAAGAGAGGTCAGGTAAACCTTCAACTGTCACAACAGCCCAATATTTGGCTCTTTTTGAGAAAATTGCCAAGAATAACTGGACAATAACGACATATCAATTGATGAAAAAACTTAAAATCTCTAAAGGAAGTGTTCTTAAACTACTTCTAGATCTTGGCTATCGAAAATTGTGCTCAAAATTGGCGCCAAAGCTTATAACACGAAAATGATACAAACTCGGAAATAAATTTGTTTAGACCTCATCGAATCTTACCCAGGACCAGCTACTGAGGCCTTTAAAGGAGTCATAACGTGTGTGAGACTTAGGTTTATCATTATGACCCTTCTTCAAAGCGTCAATCAATGCAATTGACCCATAAAAATGTATTCAGTCAAGAAATAACCAAGGCTTTCCCTTTCCAAAGACAAAATCATGATCACGGTCTTTTGGGACTGTTGGAATAGCGATCAAAATTGGCGTGGAGCATTGGGAGATCGACCAATCAACGGCCGCGGCGGCGCTGCGGTCGACGTCAATATATATAGTCTTTGTCTCTCGCCTTCCTACATATACTTGCCTTTAAAATTTTGCTACTTTAACATCTTATTTTAAGTTACTTTGTTTAATAAATAATCCTTTTATTCCTTGATTCAATCTCAAACTTCAACAGGGACCAATATCGGCTCATATTCATAGAGGCATGCTTTAAATAAATACTTCCATCAACAGGAAAGATATTGTAAATCATTAAAAAGCTAAAAAGAGCCATTTCAACAAAAAGGCCGGGCCTAAAAGACTGTCGAATTAAATTTCATCAGAACGATGCAAGACCTCATACTGTGCAACAGACATTGGCTCAAATTTCCAGATATGGGTGGACCTCGATGCCTCACCCAGCTTACAGTCCTGAACTGGCTCCTTCCGTCTTTTACCTGTTTTGTAAATTAAAGAATTCTCTACGCGGTAGAACATGAGGTTATAGGGTGGTTCAGAAAGCAAGATGTAGCATTTTACCAAAGTTGTGAGTTGGACGCTGGACCAAATGTGTACAGAGGAGATATATTGAATGATATATAGCTAATAGTTAGGTATTCATATATACAAAGTTTATGGTTTGTTAAATAAAAAATTATTGATGATTGTGCATTACTTATTGGCCCAACCTTGTATAATAAACTAAATACATTGTTTTACTGCATTTTTTATTATCCCCTGTATGATTATACAAGGTCATGGAGACTATATTCATAGATCAATTTCATAATCTTGGTAGGGTTGGAATACAGGTCCTGTCTTGAGGCTTCCATACATTCCAAGAGGTGGTTTGGTGAGGCCTCTTTGGTCCTGCAGATGGTACATTGTGTCTTTACACCATCCTGGAAGAGGAGCGGTCTTGTATGGCTGCCAGTTTTGAGCCTGGAGATATATGTGGCTGCCTGTTGGTTCATCCCACATTCCATAATAGCTCCAGGCTTTTGGTTCAAATTTCAATGTTGGAATGTTGAATCCTAAATCTACTTATATAATTGCCTTATTCTGTCTGTGTGAAGTTCACTGTGTGAAGTTCACGGATAGATTTTGGTCATCAACGCGCGCATCATCATTATGATCATTATCATTATCTAATGATAATAATAATAATTATTATTATTATCTACTTATATAATTGCCTTATTCTGTCTGTGTGAAGTTCACTGTGTGAAGCTCACGGATAGATTTTGGTCATCAACGCGCGCATCATCATTATGATCATTATCATTATCTAATGATAATAATAATAATAATTATTATTATCTACTTATATAATTGCCTTATTCTGTCTGTGTGAAGTTTACTGTGTGAAGTTCACGGATAGATTTTGGTCAGAATGGATAAAATAAAAAAAGTGTCGAGGGATGGGAATCGAACCCACGACCTTCCGCTTACCGGGCAGATGCCATGACCACTAGGCTTCCTAGGACAACGATAGGTTATTTTAAATTATATATAAATTAAATATTAAAACTATATATTCAAATTATTCTACTTAGCTCACGAACAGCGCCCTCTATCAAGGTTATAAATACGTTTAAAATCGAAATCTTTTCAAATTTTATTAATAATAGTTCGCTTACTAATTAGAATACTTGATCTAAATCGAAATATTTATAGACGCTCCCTCGATTTGAAGATTTATATCGTAACTAATCTGACTGTAAAGTTTGGAGCGGGACGTTTCACAAGAGTGACATCCACGGCGCCAATTTATAATTGTAACGAATAGTGTTTGAATAAAACATTTAATCGGGTAAAACCCGGGCGTTGCCCGGGTCATTCGTCTAGTGCATTATAAAAGGGAGAGGTGCCATTTTGGTACATGAAGACCATCCTTCTGCAAATTCGACTCTCCTGCCACTTCATCAGCTTCAAAATCTGTTTGGCCAAATCGACCGATTCCATAACTCTCGTCTTGTGGGATGTTATGAAATCGAAGCCGCTCTGTATTGGTTAGGGTCGTAGCCGAAACCATGGTATACAGGTTAGCTTTATGTTTGAATTTGCCAAAACTGGTGTTGTGGTTTTTTCTTTATCCCCACCATTACGGTTTGTACTGGGGTGATGAACTAATTTGTTTTAAGGCAATTTTCAAGGGAGAAGTTCTACCTTTGTAATATTGTTTAAATATAGATGAATAATTCTTCCTGATTTGAAATTAAACGAAAAAACATGGTGAAGGAAGACGAGTTTCTTTTATTGATGCATAGCTGCAAGCTTTCGGGTAAAAACCCTTCAACAGGCGAAAATTGAAGCGCGACTTATAAGGACTATGGTACAGATGGTAGGAAGGAATTAATATATATAAAAAAGAAAGTTTTTAAACTATTTATATATGTTGATATTAATGGAAGACCGATTTTTGAGAAAAGTAAATATTAAATCTGCAGTATGCAGTCTGAAACCACGAGACGGCGCATGATTAGGGCTATTGAAATAAACATGTGGGAGGTTTAAATAAAGGACAAGAGAGGATGATAAGCTTCTGGAAGATCTATTTTTCTGTTGATGCTGTTCAGTTTGTGGGATACTATGGATTCTAGGATAAGTCTTTGGTGTAAGATATGTATGTGCCTGTAATGTATGGTGGGGTTATTGATGTTGAAAGTGTGGCCTGTGCTCTGCATATGTTGATAAATGAGGGATTTGGTATCTTGCCTGGAAATATTGCGGGAATGTTCAGTCATCCTGATGGCCACAGATCTACCTGTCTCACCAACGTAAGTGGCAGGACACTGTTCACATGAGACGGAGTAGACTGCGCCAATAGAACGAAGAGGGTCAGGAGGAGCTGAGGACTTAATATGAGGATGACGGAGGGATGAAAGAAGATTCGGGGAGTTTTTATATATGGTACGGATGCCATAGGATTTAAGTTTTCTGGCTATATCTACTGAGGAGGGGGAGTAAGGAAGAAAGCACAATGATCTGTAAGTCATGGAAGGATTGGAAGTTGTAGTTGTATAAGTATATTTATTAATGAAAGAGAGCGGAAAAGAAGATGCGGAGAGCTGGGTTATGATACGATTTCTTTCTATTATTTTAAAGATGTCTATGGAACAATGGGTGTATATTCTTTTGTAAGGGTTCTGACAATACTGATTTTATGGGAGGTAGGACAGTGAGAATTGTAGTGAGTGTAACAGGGGGGGGGGGGGGGGGCATTGTTTTTTATGATAAACTGTAGTGTAAAATGAGGAAGGGGTGCGAATGATTAAAATATCAAGGAATGGGATAACACGGTTAGTTTCTGTTTCTAGAGTAAAGGAAATATCCGGTTTGTAATTATTAAGTGTTAGTAGTATGAAGCTCTCTTGATCCTTTTTGCATATACAAAAGATATCATCTATGTATCTGCGCCAGAACGGAATTTCAGTAGAGAGGGTATGGGTGATCCATTCATCTTTTCTAGTCATGACTATTTCAGCAATAATGGTAGATACAGAGCTGCCCATTGGGGAGCCCCTGAACTGTGTATAATGGTGCTGTAGGAATGTGAATGTGTTCATGCTTAAGCATATTTTGGTGAGTTGGACTATGGTTGAAGAAGTGTGGGTATCGACATTTTGTGATTGAAGGAAATGAATCAAGCTATCTGTGATGAGTTCATGGGGAAGACACTTAATAATTACAATCAGGATATTTCCTTTACTCTAGAAACAGAAACTAACTATGTTATCCCATTCCTTGATATTTTAATCATTCGCACCCCTTCCTCATTTCACACTACAGTTTATCATAAAAAACAATGCCCCCCCCCTGTTACACTCACTACAATTCTCACTGTCCTACCTCCCATAAAATCAGTATTGTCAGAACCCTTACAAAAAGAATATACACCCATTGTTCCATAGACATCTTTAAATAATAGAAAGAAATCGTATCATAACCCAGCTCTCCGCAGCTTCTTTTCCGCTCTCTTTCATTAATAAATATACTTATACAACTACAACTTCCAATCCTTCCATGACTTACAGATCATTGTGCTTTCTTCCTTACTCCCCTCCTCAGTAGATATAGCCAGAAAACTTAAATCCTATGGCATCCGTACCATATATAAAAACTCCCCTAATCTTCTTTCATCCCTCCGTCATCCTCATTACTAAGTCCTCAGCTCCTCCTGACCCTCTTCGTTCTATTGGCGCAGTCTACTCCGTCTCATGTGAACAGTGTCCTGCCACTTACGTTGGTGAGACAGGTAGATATGTGGCCATCAGGATGACTGAACATTCCCGCAATATTTCCAGGCAAGATACCAAATCCCTCATTTATCAACATATGCAGAGCACAGGCCACACTTTCAACATCAATAACCCCACCATACATTACAGGCACATACATATCTTACACCAAAGACTTATCCTAGAATCCATAGTATCCCACAAACTGAACAGCATCAACAGAAAAATAGATCTTCCAGAAGCTTATCATCCTCTCTTGTCCTTTATTTAAACCTCCCACATGTTTATTTCAATAGCCCTAATCATGCGCCGTCTCGTGGTTTCAGACTGCATACTGCAGATTTAATATTTACTTTTCTCAAAAATCGGTCTTCCATTAATATCAACATATATAAATAGTTTAAAAACTTTCTTTTTTATATATATTAATTCCTTCCTACCATCTGTACCATAGTCCTTATAAGTCGCGCTTCAATTTTCGCCTGTTGAAGGGTTTTTACCCGAAAGCTTGCATCTATGCATCAATAAAAGAAACTCGTCTTCCTTCACCATGTTTTTTCGTTTAATTGTAATATAGTATTTATTAATTTTATTATTTTTATTAACAGAGTGGTCATTTTCATGTTTATATTTTGCTACTCTGTATATTCCCCTCGTGGCTTATCTTTTGTTTACCTTTCATAGTTTGTCCTTCCCTGAAATAAATTTTGTTTCCTCCTGAAGTTTTTGTCTTCCCTCCACGTGGCAATATTGTCCTACCCTGAAAATTTATTATACATATATAAAGGTTGATTTTCCAGTCAAAATAGACGTCAAAATTAGGTGCCATCTATTGACCGTCTCAAACAAGCGGATTCGGTTGGGTGACAAAGCAACAACACCACCTTGGGTAACTGAAAAGTCCCACGTGGAGACCATGGTCTGGGATAATGGTCCCCGTCAGTCCAGGGCGTGCTTTGATCTCATGAGATCCACACAAGGAATCGAATGAAATCTTAACAATCTGACAAAGAGGTGTTTAGTTTGTAAAGTGGATAGGCCATATCTAGGGCAAATATATAAATGGAAACTTGTCTGTAGGATAATAATCTATATAAATGAAGAACGTCTCTCCCATCAAACTGACCCGAGATCGCTAGTTTGCGGAGACGGTCAATAAATGGCTTTGCCATCAAGTTCGATGCGACCTTTAATTTTAAATATCATCCTCCTCGGGCAAAATTTCCGGGAGTAAGTTGATCTATAAAAACAAAGGTCACCTCTCCTAAAACTGAGCGCCATCTATTGACCGGCTCTGCAAACTAGTGGACCTCAGGTCGATAACAAAGCAACGACACTAGCTTCAGCAAACTGAGAAGTTTCCACCTAGAGACCATAGTATCGGGTAATGGCCCTCGTCAGCCTAGGGTAGACTTTATTCCATTATAAATTTACTAGACGAATGGCCCGGGCAACGCCCGGGGTTTACCCGAGTGCGAATATATTTTAAACACGTTGTCTTGGGTGGTCGCTATAGACAGGGTGGTCTGTATAGACAGGTGTATGTATCACACAGCCGAAAACAGGGTTGTCTAGGGTGGCCGCTATAGACAGGGTGGTCTGTATAGACAGGTGTATGTATCACACTGCTGATAACAGGGTTGCCTGAAGTGACCGCTATAGACAGGGTGGTCTGTATAGACAGGTGATTGTAACACACTGATGATAACGGGGTTGCCTAAAGTGACCGCTATAGACAGGGTGGTCTGTATAGACAGGTGATTGTAACACACTGATGATAACAGGGTTGCCTAGAGTGACCGCTATAGACAGGGTGGTCTGTATAGACAGGTGGATGTATCACACAGCTGATAACAGGGTTGTCTAGAGTGGCCGCTATAGACAGGGTGGTCTGTATAGACAGGTGTATGTATCACACTGCTGATAACAGGGTTGTCTAGAGTGGTCGCTATAGACAGGGTGGTCTGTATAGACAGGTGGATGTATCGCCACAGCTGATAACAGGGTTGTCTAGAATGGCCGCTATATACAGGGTGGTCTGTATCGGCAGGTGTATGTATCACACAGCTGATAACAGGGTTATCTAGAATGGCCGCTATATACAGGGTGGTCTGTATAGACAGGTGGATGTATCACACAGCTGATAACAGGGTTGTCTAGAGTGGCCGCTATAGACAGGTGTATGTATCACACAGCCGATAACAGGGTTGTCTAGGGTGGCCGCTATAGACAGGGTGGTCTGTATAGAC